GGAATTCTTATCAGATAATAGTGTGCAAGCTGCATCGCTGCTCAGCATCCTCTGTTTTTATTGGATTATCTCCAGTTGCTTGCCTTTTCTTGTTTCTCCACTGCCACTCGAAAGTAGCCATTTGTGTTTATTCACTCTGATGTCCTTATTCATTTGAAGTGGACATAGTGAAAAGTATGCCTCACACTTGTGTCAACATGAGTGCTCCATGGAGGCTACTGGAGGTTTTTAAACAGTCTTTGAAGTAAATATAAAATGTTATAAAACCATTTTTTATCATATATTGCACATACATAAGCAGTCCTTTCTCCTCCATCAGGCATGCATGTCACCTTTTCAGAAGCAGCCGTGGCTTTCTTTAATCACAGTGGTTGGTCAGTGAAATGAAATTCCTAGGAGTTAGATGCTAAGTCTCATCTCGTATTATTTTCCTGACCCATTATCAATGCAGTAATTATTAATCTTATTCCAAATCATTAACCTTATCCCATATTTGGCTTTTCTGAGTATGCACAGTTTTTCCAGAGCTGGAATCCCCACTTTTCAAGTCAAGTGAAGTTTTGCTGTTAAGTGGCAAGGGACTTGCCTTGGGACCAGAAAAATCTCACTGTCCTTCCCTAAATCTACAACTGGTTGGTTCCTATGTATTGCATATGTACCCATGCCGTAGTGTGCACACTGATGATTGCTTTTTTACTTTCTTCTGTATGATACTACCTATATGAGCAATTTTAACACAGTCCTAATGTGTTCTACACTTCATGTGTTCACTTCTAAAAATAAATCCAGATAGCACCACCATAAAATACCTGTCTGCTCTCAGGGAAGGCTCTAAGGGGAGAGAGGACTCTTACACTTAAGGTTTAAGAAGGTGAAGAAGAGTATTTCATAGCGTATACCCCTTATCATTCTGCAAACGTTGTGCATCTTTCATGCAGCAGAATGAGGGGAATTAAAAAATGGATATTAATTTTTCCAGACCTACTTCTGCTCCCAAGCTCCCTGTGGAACAACACTGAAAACCCACAACTTCACAGGGTTATAGCAGCTGGGGTCTATTTTCTATTGTATCTCTTGTGGTGGGTTTCTGTTGCTCCCTGTATTCCTCTGGTTTTAACTAGAAATACGTTCCCAGGACTGTTTGACAATTACATGAGGGTACAACAAGTTGTTGGGTTTGGGTTTGTTTTAATTTATTTCAGCACAAAACATAGTTTGTTTAGGTTAATACATAGAATTTTAGCCCTATAGTGTAATGTGTAATAATGTTAATGGTGCAGCAGTGTTGCTGTGTTCCTGCTTTTCTTTTCCGATGCATAGAGTTAATCAGTGAAAGTACTTTAAAAAGGTAGCTTTGTGTTTTATATGCTCAAGTTAAGTGCGTTCAGAAGCATGTTTGAGTCTGTTCAGAATGTGTTTTGGTGTTAGAAATATATTTTTCTTCATTTAAATAATCTTCGTGTTCTTGAGAAGGAAAGAAAGGAAAAAGAAGGCTTAGAAAACTACAGCTGAGATTATTTTAGGACATCAGTTGTAAGGATTCTCTTCCAGGGTGAAATGTGGCAGATGCTTCATATTGCATATTACAAAACAGCTTCCAAGGACTCTGAAGTGCAACGTCTTTGGAACAACACGTGTCTTTGCACAACAGTCTACCCTGCTTGCATTAGTTTCACAATCACTGCAGTCATCAAATGCAGGCATTTTATAAACTCCTAACTGATAGCTCTGAGCTAATGAGAAAAAAATTACAAAGCAAATTAATATATTGCCATAAACCCCCAATTTCCAGGTATTTTGGTGTGTTCTAAGGGAGAGTTTGAAAGGCAGCAAGATTTGTGCTGTTTTAACCTGGAGTGCAAACCTGTAATTATCGTTTGGGACCTCTTCAAATAAGAATCAAACCACATATTTCTTAGATAAGTCTTTTTTTGTGGTGCACAGTTTGAGCTCAGTTTAGACCATGAACACAATTCCCGCTAAGGTTAATGGGAATAGCACACAAGTGTGGGGAGAGAGAACAAGCAATTGGAGGTGCAGTGATTTTATTGCACTGAGAATTAGGACACTTTGCAGCCTTTTCTAAGCAGCTGTTCTTTAGGTAAATTAATACCTGGGGTCTCTTTACTTCTCCCCAACTTTAACTACCATAAAAGAACTTGATGTATAGCTGTTCACAGCATATCTCACCCGATGGCTATGTGAAACCTCTAACACAAACACTTTTAAAAACTGCAGCCATAACACACTAATCTTCTGAACTTCCTGACCCATAAAAACTGTGATTGTTACTACATGTAAACTTCATCTGGAAATATCGCTCTGTATTTAATGTCCTGGGTATTATGTTGCAAAATCCCTCCTCCTTTGCAGTGGAAGGGCTGCCAGGAAAGTGAAAGACAATGGGGCTGTAGATTAGTGTAGAGAGAGTAATGTTGTACCTTAATCTTGTGGGTTTGGTTTTATTTGGAGCTGGCAATTCAACAGATGGGATGTTCTGATTCTTTTCTCTTTTTGCCTAGGTTACCATTTCAGATTTGATTATTTTTGGAATTAAGAGTATTACAGGCTGTTTTTACGTACCGTTAGTCACAGGGCAGTCACCGATTTCCTATACAACTCTGTGAGCAGATAATTAAGAAACATCACATCTATGGGAGCTATTTTGATTAAGACAGGAAGGATGTTAGAGATGAGCAGAAAGCTTTGCTGTTCCAGTTGTGATTCTTTTTTTAAGTATGTGTAATATCTGAGAATTATCTCTAGTAACTATTCTGTGACTAAAGTAATGAATGAGGAGCGTTTTGCGGGATTTTTTAATTGAAGGATACCAGTTACACTCAGCAGAGGCAAGAAAGGATTAATAATAGTCCAGGAGTGTCCTTTCCCTCGCTTCCATTATGGATAATGCATACTTTTGTTTTTAAAATGCTACATGATTCTTGTCTGATCTTCAGCAAAGCTAATGGCATCAGCAGCTTTGCATTTACACACATGTACATGGCAAAGGGGCTGGGTTGACTGCACTCTGGCGTGCAGACATACTAAAAAGCAGAAGAGTCATGTTTCTGTCTTTTATTCACCACTGGACTAACTTAATAATCATTAAAAAAGAATTAAATGAACAACTTTTTATTAAAACACAAACATTTGTGTTAAACGCTGCTTTTTCCAAGCTGCTTTTATTAGTAGTATTGTTCTAAATTGCAAGCTGTCACATCCACCAGCCTCTAAATTACCAGTCCTCCGTGTTGCTATAGTAACACCGTGGCCACTAAAATATAGACTCCAGCTCAGAAAGGCAAGCTCAGACTGCGGCTCATTTATTTGAAGGTCTTGGCAGCAGAGCATCTCCACAGTCTTTATTTTATAGCCTTTGACTACTTGCACTTTAACTCTTTCAACCAAAAATGTAGCGCTGTGCTAAAAGATGTGGTTTTATTTAAGATACTGTTAAGGACACCCAAGCTACAGAGAGTTAATAAATACATGGGTGTTGTTGACATTTAACTACTCTTTCCTTCTCTTTGGTTTCGGGACGATTGACTGATGTTTTCCTTGAGGTGAGGCTTAGATGACAGCGTGATATTGTCTTCTCCACTTCCTCCATCTGAAAGGCCTCCATCTCCTTTTCATGTTGGGATCCCTCACTGGTAACCTGGACAACAGAAATCTACCTGGGCTGGATTGGAAATGTAGTTTCTTGCTTAGTGTAATATTGGGAATGGATTTACGTATTCCCACTTGGCTGGAAGTCAGTGTATTGGTCAATAGTAACAGGCTCTTAATTTCATGAGCTCAGGCATTTTTTCTTAATATGTTTTCTCCATTTTGCAGTCCAGTTCCCTGACATGCAACTGTTTGTCAAGTTCATCTTAACTCCTCGCCCCCTAACCTCGGTTTGCCTGTTCTGACTCCTTGTCCCCAGACTCACCTATTTGTAGCATTATTCCCACCGACTGTTCTGCTCACAGTGAACCAGTCCCTTGGTTCTTCATCCACCCAAGGGCCCCCTGATCTCTCACAAGTCTTCTACTCCAAGCTCCAGTGCTGTTTTGCATGCCAAACTCGCCATGGCTATGCAACGTTCTGTTGTCTCAGCTATTACCATTCCTCTTGTATTTCTTTTTTTCGGGGTACATGGATCGTTTCCTGTTCTGTGCCCCTTAGTGCACAGAGGACTTCACAAGTGATGAGTGTACATAAGCTCTTGGTGACCAGCTGTCCAGTCCTCACTGTCCTACAGGTTTTCTGATGTTTACAGGTTACATTTCTGCAGCATTTAGCATTAGGCTCATTATAGTAGCTCTGAGCACCACTACCTGCAATAAACAGAGCTGGTGTCACTTCCACTATTAGAATTAAAAGAAAATCTCACGTGTACAGCAGAGATCAGGGAAGAAGCCTGTCAGAAAGCATTTATATTACAGTAAAATAAGATTTTTGAATGCTAACCACCATAAATCAACCAAATATATATAAATATCCCATTGAAATAAGGGGAAGGAAAAAGCCCCTTATTTTACAACTGTAAATAAGGGTTAGCGTGTTTAATCCCTACTCAGATAAATCTTGCATATCTTGTCGCAGTTGCATAAGGTCTTTATTGGGAATACCGGTGGGTAAATTCCTATTTTCAGTACTATTTGTATTGAAAATGTTTTTCTACCCCACAAAAAAAATATACTGTTACATTTTACCAGTATTCCAAATACTTTATGTTAAAACATTTGCGATATATCTCCTGCTACATTCTCATAAAACTCGTTGTTTCAGCAGCCATGTTGTTGAATCCCTCTCTAAAAGTAAAGTAGGAAACACGCTTTCAGAGCCTGCAGGCTTTCAGCCGAGATCAAATAGTGCCACTTAGTACCTTCAAGTACAGGGCTGCTGACACGAGCTTTTACTTCCTAGGATACGGTATGTGCTCTGGAGGCACCCAGTCTGCCTGCTGGACTGCCATCAAGTTACAGCTTTTCACAGATGACCTAGTCCCAGCAGAAAGTCTTGACCTCGCACTTTTTCAGCACTTCACAGGTTAACTTTGTTGAGGGATCAGATTTCTTTCTAGGGGAAGTTTCTGATGATCACCTTCTAGCTAGGCTTTACTTTCCAGCGTCTTTCAGAGCTGCTGGAAGTGCTGGAAAACAACCTTGCTCCAGGGTTTTTTTCCCTAAGTCTCTTTCTACATAGTCAAGTTAAAAGCTGTTTTATTTAGGAGGGTGTTGGATGGTAGCCTAATGAAGGTATCAACCTGCAAAATAAATCTAAGCCCCTTTGCTGGAATTCTTCATGGCCAACAAGGTGAAGTGCTTTGGCGAGGGAATATTGCAAGGTAAGAGACTTTTTTATGCACTTTTAAAATCGTGGAAGTGTGTTGTGTTACAGCTTTAGCTCTGTAAATACTGGCAGCAATGGAAATGCGTTAGAGAATGGAGTAAATCTGGGAAGTTTACTCCCTTCACTGTTTCATTTGAACCATTGTATGCTACATAAAATCAATATGTATGTTAGCAGATTATAAGTATTTGAATAACATAGTAGGAAATGCCCCATGTGAGAACTGACAGCTACTGCTGTGTTTGTTTTTTCTGACTTAGCTTTGGGGGTCTGCAAGGTTTATGGACAGTTACGACTGTCGCACAGGTTGCAATCCAACCAGCTATCTTGCACCAGCATTCCAGGCTTTTAACCTCAGAAAACTGTGGGGCTTTGTTGTATTTTAGCAGCGTGAGTTTGCTTTCTGTGGAAAGGAGGAACGTCAGTGGGAATGAGCTCACTCAGGGAAACAAAGGCGTGTGTGAAGCTCTTTCTGGCCAGATCGCAGCTGAGAATGCACTTGATTTTTAGGACATACCGTTTTTACTCTCACTCCTGTACAAATTTCTGTCGGCTGCCTAGTTTGAGTAAGGTTAGAAGATCGTTTTCCTTTTTACAGTTTCTTGCAAATAAGCCTAATTTTCAAGGCTGACAGAAACCAGGAATTACTGGTACTACTTAGGGTGTTGCAGTTCTGTTAGGGAAAAAACCTGATTTCAGAGTTGGTAGTAGCTGATATCTTCCACACATCTCCATATTACAAAGAATAACACATTGCACTTGATGACGTGTCTGTTCTATAAATCACTGCGGTGATAACGAGGTTGGTTTTCAGTGATTTGGCTTCCTGAGAAGCAGTGCTGTGCTCTGTGATCAAATTAACACCTCCTGTTGCCAAGCTTTATTTTAAGACATCTGTCAGCAGGCTCTAACATGTTCAGAAAGACAAATTTTGTGGTTTTCTGCCTTTTTTTATGATGGGAGAAGAGTGTGCAAATGTAGGCATTATCTTTTGTCTCCATGTGCTTCGCTGCGGCTCAGGCTGCTGAGTGGGAGAGGAGCCATTCTCAAGTGTGAAATCTGCTTTGCTGATGCACAGGTTTTTGCCTTGATCAATTTATGTAGAAGCTTATAGTGTATTTTGAGAAAGGAAGAACTTCCGCAGTGACTGGGAATTGCTTCAGGTCTTCATGCATATATCTCTGTGTGTGTGTGTGTGTGTGTGTGTGAATCTGCATTTTCTGCTGGCTTTACTGCCTGCAGACTTCTAACAGATTTGCATTGGTGTCACTAGTGGAGTGTCCGGAGGGATTAAAACAAGACTGGGAAGCAAAGGAGCCATATCCTACCTGCCTGTTGCTGGAGGTTTTGGCTCTGGGGCTATGCTTTACCGCCACCTTCCCCTGAGTGAGCCTGCCCAGTGGTCCCAGTTGGCCATTTGTGCTGGGAGAGCAGGTGGGCAAGTGGCCCTGGCTGGGGGCAAGTGGATCCAGCCCCAGGAGCCTTTGAAAAGCACACTGAGCAGCAGGGAATTTCAATGGAGCTTGCATAGTTTTGTTTCTGTACTGCCCTTCATTCCTTTCCCTCCATGTTTTACTTAACATCAGCCCTGTAAGAATTTAGCTAATCTACTCTTTTTCTTCTTGGTGTTTTAAGCCTGCTTCTGTTGTGTTTTGGAGCCTCAAGCTGCCGGATACCAGTAAGTGGTGGTGAGCTGCTGAGCTCTCACCAGCTCACTCCAGTGCTGGAGAGCATACAGGAAGTAGTTGGGTGTCAGAAAACATGTCTGTGTTGTTTACAAGTACTGCCCCTTCTTTAAGTCATAACTTAAGCAGTGCCTTTCTGTGAGGATGTGATGAGATCCCGAAGGTATCTGCTTTTTGGGGAGAAGAAAGTATCAACTGGTAAGACAGGCAGGAGAAAGAAACCTGCACGGTCCAGTGTTGGGTTATCATCACTCTCCATTGCCTGGAGGAGAGAGGTGTTTGGGCTGGGGCTTGGCTGCAAGGTAAGAGGAGGAGGAGGCATACTGCAGTGGTGATCCACACCTAGACGTTTGCCAGGAACTCCTCCCTGTTTCTTCACTTCAGGGGTCCCCAGCAGCTTTGGCTTGACCTCTGTGGATTTGTTCAGTCCATCGCTGTCACATGCTGGCTGTACACTTTACAGGGATCTGTTTTCTGGAGGGCTTCAAAGGCTTTGTACATAACAAAGAATTCATGTACAAACAAGGATTTCTGACCTTCATTAGAAGACTTTCCTCAGCACTTCTTACTGTCTTGGAAACAAAGACGTAACAAACAAAGCATAATTCTTTTTACATAATAACAACTAAGGCTTAACACTGATTTTATTGTGATATGACGACTGATCTTCTTTCCAGCTTTCAGTGGTGCAGATCATTTGGAGTCAATGAAGTAGCACAGAAACGATAAGGCAGGAGGATCAATCCCGTGGGTGATCAGGGATGAGCATCAATCCCATGGCTGTTGAGTGTGCTGCTGGCTGCAGGGGTGCCCTGTGCACCAGGTGTAGATCTGGTCTATAAACTGCTTTATAAAATCAGTAAGTCTCCAGATAGAACACTAAAGGGGGTTTATAGGTTCTGAGTCCAGGAGAATGGGTTGGTAGCTGGTTGGAACATTTTACACTGGATTTTTCACACCTAGCTGGGAGTTCGTGTTCATTCAGCACTTGGGTCAAAGGCAGTGCCTTGCTCTGGTTCCTCACCTTCCCTTGAGGCTCTGCAATGCCAGAGGAACCGCTGCTGTGAACAATGGCCAAAAAAACAAGTTCCACCAGTCAAGTATTTTGCAACTGAATACAGTTGTGCTGGCTGCTGCATTTAGTGGCTCCAGGCAGCGATGGACCGAAGGGTCTCTTCAGGGGAAGAAGGTGCCATTGTTTTTCTGTTTTAGAGCAAGAGGTAATGAGCTTTAGTAGAAAGTGAGATTGCTTTCACGAAGCTTTAGAGTTTCTGATAGTAAACTCCCTGAGATGAGCCACGTTTAGCAGCTCCTCTGTGCATGTGTGCTCAGCTGACTTCAACTTTTGACAATGGTTTGGTCAAATTCCTGGTCAGATTTTAGGAGACAAAATAAAACGCAGTGTTGTTTTTATCAGATTATTAGCACTGATACAAAAAGATTAAATGAAAGGAGCATGTGCAGTTTTCCAGCTTCTACCAATCTTTTCTTACCCAGTCTTTTTCAGCACTGATTGATCCTTCTCTTCTGTGAGTTCTTCTTTTTTACAAATAGGTATTTTAAGTGTAAATGTTGAAAACACATCTTGGCGGAATTTTAAGCAGAGCTTGACAGTGACTTGCGTCTCAGCTTTGTGGTGGTAAACCAAATAGTCACTGGTCACGGAAATGGTCTGAATAGCTCACAGCACACTTAAAGCACTTTAACTCTGCACCAAAAAAATGTCATTAAAAGGATTAGGTTCTTCTCCAGAAAAAAACAGCTTGAAATTGTCTATATTAATTTTGCCTGGTTTACTTTTCTTGGTCTGGCTTTACAGAGTGTTTCAAGGTGACAATCCTGTCCCGGGGCTCCACCTTGGGTTAGAGACAAAAGTGGTTTATTTTATGATTTGAATTGTAATAAGAAGAGAGTAGTGAAGACGTGGGGAAGATGGGTGATACGTAACAGTGTCAAATACATTAATTACATTTGTTTCTCTCAAAGTACATTTCCATCCCTTCTTACGCAAAGGGTTGTTTGTCACCTTTCAGAACAATTTGAAAGGAAAACCATGCAAGGGGCTGTGTATGGTTTTTGGATTTCTCACACAGTGATGTCAGTGTTGTAGGAAATCCCAGAGGAAAACAGTGGAAACTGCAGCACTTAGTGTCTCATGTTATAGCGCATCTACATTTTTCTGGCTTTTTTATTTTTCCTTTTATTTCTTTGAAGGTGCAGTGAGGTTTTCATCATTTTGCACCTTGAGTTTTTGTTGTTGTTGTTCTATCAACTTACAAATAGTTAAATTTTTAGGTAGAAGAGGATAGTTACCATGTTTCCACTTGAAATATTGTAAAGCCCCAAGGCCCTGTCCCGGACAAATGTATTTTTCAGCAGTTCATTGTAATTTTGGTTTGACTGTAGATCCACCAAAGTTAAAATCCACACCCGTCTGTAAAGAAGGGTGCATTTTCAGCCTTTAACAATAGCTTTATTTAGTCGGGTTTTAATTACTCCTTTGCTTTGGATGTGTAAAGGGGGAAGTTTTCATGCAGAGGGGGGCTGTCCTGAGGATCACAGGGTGGTTTCCTGTCCAAGTTGACAAAGAGCAGCCAATTCTATGGATGATGTTTATGCAAAATGGAAAAGTGCTGATAGACTGTGGAAAAATACAAGCCTGAGCCTAACCGCTTTGCAAACCTGTTTCAAAGAGCAGCTTTGAGTAGCTGACCTGGTGCCGCATGCAGGTGATCTGTAGTGGCACTGTTGGTAGTCACGTAAGGGTGATCAGGCTGAGATGGGCAGGGAAAGAAGGGTGCTTAGTTTCACAGGGAGCAAGAGGCAGCTTTGTGGGAGTTCTGAAGTGATGGCAGTGATGGATTTTAACTGGGTGGTGGTGTATTTTCATGCATAATACACTTTTTAAGGGTTTGGGGTTTTTTGTAATTTCCAGTAATCGAAGTAAAGTTTCAGGTGATTGATCAAATAGAGAAAGGAAAGGCTAAACATTTCAGCTTCAGGTTATAGTTGAGTAGACTTCTGCTGACATCAGAAATTATTAGTTGCACCAGCTAAATTACAAAGATGTTATCTTAGCTCTGGGAGCCAAGAACACCTTAATTAGGGCTGGTAGATTCCCCATTCTGCTTCGTTGCTTTTGACTTTAACCATCAAGGCACTGGATCAGGTAAAAGTGAACTAATCTATGTGGAAGACTTGGGGTTGTTTCAAGAGCAACATAAAATTGAGATACCTCAATGTGTTAACAGATGCTGTCCTCTTGCGAAGCTGCAGTGTTCCCCCACATGCAGATACAGACCTGCGGTGACATTCTCTACACTCTTGTATTTTAAGAGCTTTTAGTGGAAAATGGATCCTTGATAGAGTTATATGTGCTTTAATTGCATTACTTTTTAACAGTATATGTTGTATGCTCATAAATTTGATTGCATTGGCATCTGATTTACAGAATTCACTGAATTCTACATGCATCACATTTGCATTTAAACCATCTCTAATGATACTCCAAAGGACAGTGTCAATAACTGTTCATGTTACCTTGTATCTTGTCACAACAGCTGTGTGCATCAGTGTCATCGCTTGGTGTCACCAGCATCCCTACAAGAGCTGTGTTGCTTGGCTTCTGGCAGCCAAAATGCTAGATATCTACCTCAGAATAGCTAATCTATTTTAATTTCGTAACAGATCAGTTAACTCAAAAACACAAAGCTTCAGTTGTTCATGATTTACGTCCAAACATGAAAGACTTAAAGCTGAGGATATACTTAAAGGAAAGCCACAACCATCAGTGTATTCAGGTGCATGCTTCTACCTTTGTCCTGGGGCACATGTCCCAGTTCAGAAGGGCACTTAGATGTTTCCATAATGACTTAGATTGCCCAACTGAAGTCAATGGTTGATGCCAGTAAAACTATTTATGAGTAATATTAGCTGCATTCTTTAGATGCTGGTGAATGGGGATCTGTGATAGTTTAGTGAATGGTTGTAAATGTAATGTTTCTGTACGTTTAAGATAGAACTATGAGTCACACAGATTATCATTATTGTTTGGGTTTGGCTTTTGGGTTTTTTTTGTTTTGGGGGTTTTGTGGGGGTCTATTTTTTGTTGGGTTTTGGTTTTGGTTTTTTTTTTTTTCCCATTGCTGTATCTCCGTAAGAAAGAAATTAAACTGTTAAACATGGAAAACATTGGCATTGCTGATATTATTATTATTATGATTTTATTATAGGTTCAGAAATGGAAAAGATATTTAGTTGCTACACAAGCTGTTCTTTTGTAGCTATAGTTACATAAGCTATTCTTTTTATGCAGTGATTTTAATTTATTCGTAACTATTGATGCATTTACAAAAATCTAAGAATTGCAATTGCTTTATGTTTGAAATAGAAGTAAATATCAGTTATAGGTCCTGGTTTTAAAATCTAAAATTTAGAAGGAATAGAACTTTTAAATTTTGTGTTGTAATATGTAATCGCCTGCTCTAAAGAAAAAAAAAAAGTGCTTCAAAGAAGCCTTTCAATTCTTTTCCAAGTTTTCAGTTTTTCCACATTAGGCATTGGGGGGAGGGAGGGAAATATGGTTTTCTCTTTAGATTCCATGGATTTTTTTGTATGGTCAGCATATCTTTCATTCAGTTATGCCCCATCCCTGGCAGTGTTCAAGGCCAGGTTGGACACAGGGGCTTGAAGCAGCCTGGTCTAGTGGAAGGTGTCCCTGCCCATGTCTGGGATTCTATGCTCTGGAAGATTTTGGAAAATAGCAAATAAACCTGTTCTGTCTGTCAGATCTGGCTGGCTGGTTTTCACCTCAAGGCTGGTGTCCTAGTGTCAGTCCCTGTCCATCCCTGTCCTTCCCCATCCCTGTCCTCTGCCAGCGGAGCAGCGTAGCTGAGCACTTCCAAATTTCCTGAAGGCAAAATCAATCCGGCTTTCTGAAGCTGTTGATCTGAGCTTCCCAGCTGGCCTTGTCTGCAGTGATACTGGAGAACTGGCACAAATGACTGTGCTGGCAGATTGATGTGGACCGTAACCGGGAACAAAGCGGTAGCAGAGAGCAGCTTCAAGCAATAACCCTTTCTGCAGGCAGTTCAGCCAACGGTGCTGCTGGTTAAGCTGTGCTTAGGTCCCTGAAGGGCCTCACGTAGATGTGGGTGAATGAAATACACCCAAGTAAGCAAAAAGCAATTAAAAGTCATGAAAGCATCATTAAAACCCATACAGGTAGCTGGTTTGTAATGAGACCAAAATGCTTTTCATTTCAGAGTTGCCAAAGGTTATAGTAAGGCTATATAGTAAATCAGCAGTGAAGCTATGAATAAAATTCAAGAAACCAGACAGGTTGCCTTTCTTTACAGAATTCAATTAGACAACATACAATTAAATTTTAAGTGCATATATTAAATGTATGTATCAGCTTGTGAATGGCTTCCACTCTAAGGTCAAAAACCTCACTTCAATCTCTTGGTTACAAGTTTGGAAAGCAGAGAGAAATGCAATGGGGAAGAGAGTCTGGAGCTTCCAAAATCTGAGGCTGTGGTGAGAAATAGCTAGAGAACTATAAGGAGATGATCTTACCCCTCTAACTTTCACAAATGATCTATGAAATATGTGTTTATGCATTCCCAGAAGTAGTTATCCATCAGTAGACTAAAATGTCTTCACAGAGCTACTTGCCAGTCCCAGCTTTATTGTTCACCAAGATGGAGCACTTGTAAGCCAGTTTATAAATCTTTTCCTTCACTAGTTTATTTTTAAGGGCATTTTAGGATTGGAACATCTGGCTTGACTTTTAGATCATTTTTTTCCTGTCTGTTCTAACACTTGCATATTTTCAGGCATAGATGTTTTATGCTGGTGTTCTCTGTGTCCTACATTTCAGTTACGTGTTTCTCACTTAACTGGAAAATGTTGACACTATCACACACTGGAAGAAGGTAGTTCTGAATAGTAAGCAGTTAGATCTCCTTGGAAAGGATGTGTTGTATAGCTCAGGAGGGCTATGTACCATCTGAACAACTAAGCTTTCAATTACTAAAGTCTTCCGAGACTGGTGATGCTGTGCTGGTAGATCCCGGTTGTTGGCCAGGTTAAATTAACAAAAGATTGCTTCAGGATGGATTTTTTCCATGCATTTAAGTTCCATCTCTGTGTTAGGGCTTAGCAAATCAGTGCTATGCGTACCTGGAGGTGCCTTGTTAGCACCACCTTGCCCTGCTTTAGGACTGCAGGCATAAATTTTGAGGGTCTCCTGGAAATCTCTTTACTCATGCAAACTTCCAGGTGAGTCAAGAACAGTTGTATCACTGGTGCTGTTGACTAAATGATGGTATACATTAGGCTTTGTGGCGACACTTTAGTTAATGAGCTGCGAGGATTTAGTGTTGGAAGTGCAAAGAAGATAAGTTAGGAAAATGAGAGACTATTTTCAGTTGATAACTGTGAGTGGGATAAGGCTTGTAGAAATACTACTTCTCCTTTTGAATGATGCTTCTGCCTTTTGACCCTAGTTTTTTACCTTTGTCGTGTTTTTCTCCAGCTGGGATGACAGCAGCTCTGTCAGCAGTGGAATCAGTGACACCATAGATAACCTCAGCACTGATGACATTAACACTAGCTCCTCTATCAGCTCCTATGCCAACACGCCTGCCTCCTCCCGCAAAAACTTAGATGCACAGGTAAGATTTCTGGTTTACACAGGTTACATTGATACTTACTATTTTCTCTGTGCAATAGGTGTAACTGTTTTAAGTTGGATGGACTTGAACACACAGTCTTCAGTACAGACAGTAGCACTGAAAAGGCAATGTTAAGAAATAATAACCACTTTACCATTTAGGAATATTTCCTCTGTGCGTGAAATCTGTGGCATCTCTGCTGCTGTGGTGTGGCAACAGATGGCTTCTGCCTTCCCAGCAGCACTGCTGTACAGAAAATAGGCATCAGTAGATGGGATTATATGATTTCTCTTTTGCTTTGGAAAAGGTATTATGTTTTCTCTTAAAGAAGGGGATTTAATTAAGTCAACATGAAACATGAGCGCTTAAAGATTATATACACTTCCACTGGAAATGAAAGAGTGCCAGGCAAATGGAATAGATAAACTTCCAGGGCTGCATGGTATCACAGGCTTTCTATATTTGGCAGCATTTCATGGGAGGATAAATTTTACACCCACTGGCAGCACACACGTACATTTTGTGCTCAGATACCACGTGTCTAAAGACGGTAAAACAAGTGAACGTAGCCAATAGGTTTTCATTCATAATAAGACTGCAGAATGCAGAGATTTGCAGTAATAGAAGCTGCATTTTTCTCCCAATTGTATGGAATTCTGTTTGGAAAAATGTAGGTCTGAGTTGTGCAGCTTTGTTCTTTCTACACCCATCTGCTCAAGGTTTTGTGTGTCAAAGCAACTGGGATGCAGTGACTTGGCATTGCAGCAGGTAGAGAAGAGGGGTGCAGGTATGACCTCCTCTGTGTCTTTCCTCTTTTTTCATGACTGGACCCTAAATCTGATCTTAGATTTAATGTAGACGTGAGGTTACTGTGGAGTGTTACTCTGCCTCCAGGACTGTGGTGCAAGCACATACTAGTCTTTGTTCCTTTGCCACAAGGTGCATATTTGAGCCTACATAAAACGTTTCCAGTTAGCCTCTGGTTGTGTATCAGCAATTGCAAGTACACTCAAAACTGCTGCTGCAAGTCCCATACAAGTTGAGAGGAGTTAAGATCTATGAAATGTGTTTTCAGTATGTAACAGAGAGAGTAACATAGACAACTAGAAGTATTTTTTGACAATTGTTACCATCTTAACATCGTAATACTGTTGGGGAAAAAAGGACAAAAAAGGGAGACATGAGACTAAACATTAATCTAAGGAAAAAAATAGAAACTCATTTGACTTTTATCTTCCGGTGGATCGGATTCTTGGAAACACCTCTGAGAGATTAAAATCTGCGTTGACAAACTCCTCTTCCTCCTCCACGTATATTACAGCACCTAAGAGAGCACAGACGTGCATCAGAAGAAAAGCACCTGAAGCTTGTACAGACAGTAGAGCATAGTTATTACGAGAGAAAGCTGGGAGCTAAGGCATGCAAGTTGTGTTTGCAGGTTTTTCATGTGTGTCTGCGACCTGCTTCAGTTTTTGTTGCTGACAATATTTATTCTGGGTATTGCTATTGTCTGCAAATTATTGTCCATAAAATACTTCGTTTTAATTTGAACAGATTATCCCAATCTTGTCAACCAAGGGAATGAAAATAGCTTGGAGTAATGGAACCATGCATAGCTTGCAGGATTGATTTTTTGCTGCCCAAAGTAGAGCTCGTGACACAGTGAATGCTGTATATATGCCTTTTCTGTCTTACTTGGATACTGTATAATGGCCCTTGCCCAGGTTTGTGTTCCCCTGGCTGGTGTGCCACAAAGGATTGAGACATCTCCGGAGGGACGTGGACTTTTCTGTTCAGGCTACTGAGAGCTTTAGTTCTCCTAAATAGTAGGCACTTTTAAGCTGCTGTGATTCTGCCACATCTTTTTCAAATGATTGCAGAAAATTCAAGAGGGAGCTTGAAGCTAATGCATGTTCAACTGGGAGTTCAGACAAATAACACAGCAACATCAAAGGGAGAGAGCCCTAACATGTCGGTGTCTACTGATAAAATCAGAAACTTAAGCAGAATTGTCTCTGCAGAGGAAGAAGACATGGTTGTAGTAGGAAAAAAGTCTCTGTTAAAGAAGTGATTTTCAGAGCTGCCGAGTACCTTATACTCCAGAAGCTGTAGTTTCTCCATCTTTGACAAGCAGGACTTTGATATGATAGTAATTCCATGTTTGTAGACATTCGGAGTTGTAGCCTGTTTTTGTAGCAATGCTGTGAAGATGTTCACAAGTTGGTTCTGAACAAGCTAGTGATCAGAACCAGAATTTGCCTTGCCGTGTTCCCTTGTCTTGCTCTGATTATGTCAAGTACCAAAGCACTTGATGTAGATATATGAAGTTTGGGGCCCTAACATTTTTCTCTTACATTGTACGTAGATAAGTTACCTTTTACATGGCACTGCATATAATATGCCTTTAAAGTCACATCATACATACATTTTAAAAAGAAACTAAGACATCGTGGGTGTTTGAAAATAACTTACATCACTGCAATAAGATCGGAGAGAAGAACAGATCAAGTACATGAACAAGTTTATTAATGTTTAAAAAGATCAGAAGATGGAAAGGAAACAATTCCTTCAAATTGAAAGCAGCAGCATCTTTAAGCTGTTAGATCAAGGCGGATTCTCAGTTCCATTGGAGCAAAGACAGGTTTGGTCTGGTCACAGCTTTGTAATTGGATTTACAGAACTGTAGGGAGAAGCTGAGAAATCCTGGTGTTTACCACTGCTCCCAGCTGAGCCGGATGCAGGCTTTGCTCCCAGCTCATGCTCGCCGGGTCTTGCCATGGCCTCCAGCAAATAATATACCCACTTTCACCCTTTCAGGAGGTGGAGTTTCAACTGCAATCCCCAAGCCAGGTTTCGCTGTGTTTTGGTTTTGATTCCTTAGTCATGTTTCTGTGCTGTTCAGTGTTTACCATGAAACAGAAACATCTCTGGCCAGAGGGCTTCAAGGGTAGGTGTGCAGCGTTTCAAAGGCTATAGAAAAACTTCGGCTGTGGGTATAGTAGTGAAATGAAATGCAAGAGAGCAAAGATAGAGGACTTCTTATAATGCTGCTCTCTCTGTTGAGGCTTTAGTATCGTTACAGGTGCAAAGGTGGGGAAATAGAAGGTACGGGGATATTTCACTCAGCCAAAACTAGAATTACTCTACAATTAGCAAGTAGGTATATTTCTTGCTCTTGAACACTAACAGTGTAAATACACAATTCCAGACAAAGTACTTGAAGCAAGATACTAATGAGAGTATGTGAGGGATGATGGTGAGGTGGTTTTGTTGATCAGTTATTTCTTCTTGCTTATACTGTCTTGGACCTACAAGAAATCTGGAGACGGACTTTGTGAAAAGGAATGTAGGGACAGGATGAGGGGGAATGGCTTTAAACTGACAGAGGGGAGATTGAGATGAGATCTTAGGCAGAAGTTCTTCCCTCTGAGAGTGGTGAGGCGCTGGCTGTGGCTGCCCCATCGCTGGCAGTGTTCAAAGCCAGGCTGGACAGGGCTTGGAGCCACCTGGTCTAGTGGAAGGTGTCCCCTGCCCATGTCAGAAGGTTGGAACTGGAAGAACTTTAAGGTCCTTTCCAACCCAAACCAGTCTGGGATTGTATGATACGTAAATCTAGGAGACATTTGCATGAAATGGTGATTTTAGAGGAACACAGGACATCAAAAGAGTCACACTGTGAATTTATTGTGCACTTACCAATAGTCATAACTAGAAAGATAATCATCCCCAGAACTTGCAGCCATCAAAAAAAGAAGGAAGTTAGAAAGCAGTGTTTTATTCAAGCCTAGGCTGAGTTGCGCTGTCTGAATGGAAAGGCAGGGAAACAACATTTGCATAGCATGAGGAAAGCACAAGAAAATAATATCTAAATCCATAATTCAGCAAATGGTCATTAGTGTAATGACTTAATATACAAACTAATAACCCAGGCCCTCATTATTTCACGTGACTAAAGTAAGACCATTGTAATGTGTGGTGTCAGCTTTCACATACTGATTGCTTAACTAGTTTTTCAGGCTTTTAAAAAAAAAAGGTTATTACAATAAAAAGCAGAGGAAATTAAACCACAGTTCCCCTAGATTCTTTCATGTTAATGGAGTCGTCTGATAGGAAGAGTCATAAGCTTGAAACTCCTAAACCTTAGGAACTTGAATAAAATAGATAATTTTGCTGAAAGCATGGTAAATTATCATGCATCCTTTCGCTTTTCTGATTATCCAAAAGCAGTAAAATGTTGTGGGCTTTATAATGCTTTGGGGTATTTAAAATAATTTCCTTTTAAGTGATGCTACCATTTGACTAGTGCACATTCATCTTCTGCTGAGGCTACAGGGAAGAAATAGCTCTCCAGCACCTTACGAGAATTTGCCACCTCTTACTCAGGAGCTTCATGATCAAGTGTTGAATTGTCAGTCTTTCATGGTACTGGGATGCTTGGAAAACACTTCAGCTGTGTTTTGGGGGCCAGGGGGTTGTGTGGATGATGGTCAAATGTGAGAATATTTATCATTCGTGCCTGATCACAAAATAATAGGTTGTGGTACTGCAGATTTGCCCATATTAATCAACATCATTTGACAGGAGAAGTAGAATTCTGCAGGAATAATCGTTAGCAATAGAAAATGATAATGTATGAGGAATACATTACAAATAATTATATAGGTTAATAGATTTAACCATTTCTGAGAACTAGGCAAAGGCTTGCTTATGAAAAAATTCTGTATTTGACATTGAACTTTGCAAAATTCTTCATGAAGGATTGGTAGTGCAATCTGTGCAGAAATAGGGTAAACTGTGTGTAAGAGTTGACTATGAATTAAAAACTTCGGTAACGTATGTATTTAAGGCACTCTTGAATATTGCTAGAAAGTTGTTGGGGATTCATTTTTCTTCAGCTCGTGGGTGTCCTTCTACTATATTAGATTAGAATGAATAGCATTCCACATCTTCAGATCTGTTCAAAAAGCTGCCTCCTCATGCTCTGGAGATCAGATTGCTAGACAAGAGATAGGAAAGCAGCAAGAACAAAGGGGAGCTGGCTGCACAGGTTTGAAAGGGTTTTTTTGGCATTACAGTAAAAGGGTTCGTCAGAAATTTGAGATGGAGGATTATAAATGTCATGGAGCTGAATATGTCCTTTATAAATCAAGTGGATTTTTTCTTTTTATTTTTTTTCTTTATTTATTCTAAGGGGCATGGCTGTTATGGGGTTTTTGTATTTTTTTCCTAGCATATTAAAAAGATGCATCATTGCAAGTGTTCATTTCTTTGTGGGACATTTCTTTATCAAAGGTATGTTATGTTATGTTTGTTGGTACTTAGAAATGACTGCTGAGTTGATGAATCATTTGATGGTTCTCATTTATGAAGCTTCTTAAAAGAAGGGCTTGCTCTGAAGGTAGTATTTGTAATTCCTTATCTGTCCTAGACTGATGCAGAAAAGCATTCCCAGGTTGAGCGGAATTCCTTATGGTCCAGTGATGAAGTCAAGAAATCAGACGGAGGATCTGATAGTGGCATAAAAATGGAGCCAGGATCTAAATGGAGGCGGAATCCCTCTGATGTGTCAGATGAATCTGATAAAAGCACTTCTGGTAGGAAGAACACTGTTATTTCACAGACGGGCTCCTGGCGACGGGGCATGTCAGCTCAAGTTGGCATTACCACACCAAGGACTAAACCTTCAACCACCTCAGGCACGTTAAAGACACCTGGAACAGGTGAGAAAAGGTGTAAGATAGAAACAAGCCAAAAAGTGTGTTCAGTATGAAAACAGTTTAAATACTTTCCAGAGGCAGAACCTGAACTTCAGGTAGTGCTGTTTTTATTTTTAGCTATTGTTTTAACCTCTGCAGCATCTCATACGTCCACATTTCTATTTCTGTTCATTTGAAAATGCGTATTTTGGATTAATACACCATGGAAGTTGTTTTCATGACAACTCTAGTCTTAAGCTGAGCTATTTATTGGGCACAGTATTGCCATATGCAGAATAGATAGTATAATTTCAGCTTTTGAAGTCAAGTTTAACTGTAAGAACATACAGTATGTGTGGTTAAGGAGATTTTGTTTTTCCCTATACTAAACCAGCATGTTAATTTTTACTAAACAGTATTTAGTTCTGGCTTTTCTTAGAAATGTACTAGGGATTTTAGCTCTTGCAGATGTGTGAATGAAAATTGATTGAATGTGCATAATCAAGTAATGTAAGTTAATACCTCTCCTCTTGTTTGGTTGTGTGCACAATTGTAAATGAAAAAGTTCAAGTTAGACACTTCCTTGAACAATGCCTTGTAGGAAAATTATACTAATGGCCTAACACTACTTCTGTCTAATGATAAAAGAGGATTGCTCTATGGTAGCTAAAGAGGGAAACATTTTTTCTTCTTATCTGTCACTATGGCATAACACTGTTCTGCTTTTCATATTCTTGAGGGCAAACACACCACATACTTTCTCTGGCAAGTCTGCATGTATAACTCATTAGAGTGGCATGTAAGTTCAGTGCAGACTAGATCATAACTTTTAACCGCACTTTGGTGGCTAGCACGCTTTTGCTTTTCATGCTGCTTTGAGTTTCATCATTTGCTTGATGTTTTTCAAGTCATTAAATATTAGAATTCTTTTTCTATTTT